ACAGAGCAATCATCAGAGAACCTCCTAGACATGGAACAACTACCTCTTTGACAGCTATTCTAGAGGAGGTTGCAAGGGAGACCTGGGCTTTAGCAAGAGGCAGGGAAGACTTCCTGGAGGAGGTGACAGTGAGAGATGAGTGGAGCGGGCCTGGCTGGAGGAGAGGGGAGGGTGCACCAAGCAGGGGGAACAGCCCAGGCAAAGGCCCAGCAGACTGCGCCTGTCCCGTGTCTGGATATTGGAAGGACCCAGAGAGGGCTGGCACACAGATAGTGTACATGTAGGGGGTGGGTCTTGGCCCCAGCTTGGGGCCATGCTGTATGTCTTCATCCTCGGAGCTGCAGAAAGCCAGGCCAGAGTCTTCTGTAAGGGAGAGAGGAGATGGTGAAATTGGCCTTTGGCAAAGGCTTCTGTGACCGGCCACCCAGTGTGAACAGACACGTGTGAGGCCCTTGGACACACTTTGACATCCAGACCTCCCCCTGTGCATGAGGGCCCACCCCGTCCTTCCACAAGAGAAGTTGGAGCAAGAGTTTTCTCCGTGAACCTTCCTTCCCAGGAGGGAGGAGCTAGGGCTTAGCCCGGCTGGGTTGGAGGCCAAACCTACACACTTCATCATACGTCCTGCAGATCTACAGCAGTACTGGGGTGTAAACCCCTCAGCTTCGCAGACCTGCTTTCCTCATTTCTGTAAAGGAGTTAGTACCTGCCCTGCCTCCCTTGGGGGTGCCTCAAAGTCAGGTGAAATAAATAATGAAATAAATAATGAAATAAATAATGAAGATGGTCAAAGTGCATGAGCCCCTCACTCTAAGCCTCTTATTTTACCAAAGGGGAAACTGAGGCCAAGAGAAATGGATTGGCCAGCCTCAGATCACACAGCAGGTTAGAGGCAGGGCTAAGATTGAAACTCGGGTTTCTGCAGAAGCTGAACCGGACAGGGTTGTTGGGACTGCCTGTGATCCCCGCCTGTCACCGGTCTGGGGGCCTGAGCCAGGAAGGCTGTATCTGCCCATCATGGTCAGAGCAGCCATGGACCACAGACAGGTCCAGGCCAGGTTAATGGTATTAATCATGGCTAAAATATATTAAGCACTTCCCATGTGCCAAAGCACTATGCTGAGCACTTATACTGAATTAGATTATTAGCCCTTGACATTGTCCCAGGTGTAAAAGTGGTTCGCTCAAGGTCAGCTTGGAGTCTGGAGATTTTAGCCTGACCAGGCAGTGCCACGGACTCCTTGTCATCCTTGTAGGGCACACTGGGAGCGGCTTGAGATGCTCCAAGTTTTGGCTGGGCACAGCCAGGGACGAAAGGTGGAGGGCAGAGGTGACTCACCCATGCAGGGGAGCGGAGCAAACACCTTGGCGTGACATGTGACCTGAGCCCAGCATGGCCAGACCCCCAGTCACCCGGGATCTCTGCCAGCAGGGGCGGTCCGTTGGGGGACTCGGTTGTGCCCTGTCTTGTCCCCCCGGGATGAACGTGTTTGCTTCCTGCTACTGGCGGCACAAGCTCGGGAACCTGTCATGCCTGCTGTGAGCTGAGCCAGTCTGCAGGAGGAGGACAATGGGCTGGGCGGCCCCACGCTGCCACCGATGCGCTGTGTAAATCTGGGCAAGTCACTTCATCTCTAGGCTCAGCGACTCTGTTTGGCCAATGGAGACAATAACGCCCACCTGGAGGGGTTGTGCAAAGCTGATGGAAAACCACAGGTAAAGAGCATAGCAGCACTGCATAGTGGTTAGGAACCAGGGTGACTCGAAAGCCAGACTTCCTACTTCAAATTCTGGCTTGCCCTTTGAGCAAATTATTTAATCCTTTCTTGCCTTGGTCTTCCCATCAACAAAATGGGGCAAGCAATTTGATCTCTTTCATCATCATCATCTTGACTATTGTGGTTCTTATTGCCCTTCACCTGTACCTCCCAGCTTGCTTCCCTTTTCATCTTGACTACTGGGAAACTCTCAGCGAACATTGTTTTCTGATTACGTTCATGGAAAAATTAGGGAATTTCTTTACCTGAAAGAGCTGCCTAGGTGCTCTTTTTATATATAAATTTGATTCAAATTTCCTGAATTTAAAATAGCAGGATATATACTATTCTGTTTTGAACCATGGTAGGCTTTGCATGTCATGGAACTTCTTATCTATGCACTTTGTCTTCAGAGCCTGTGTCATTCATTCCTTTGTCCTTCACAGCTTTGCTGGTTACCAGCACTTCTTGGTGCCCTAGATAAAAGAGGGATAGAGGGGCTGGCATATTGGTTTCTTGTAGAATCCACTGTCCCCAGCCCTATCCCCAGCCTAAGCCAGAGCTGGGTACATCAGGAACATCCAGCAGAAACCAAGGTGCTCAATTCTGTGGTGATAGCAGAGGTGTTGCTTGGGCCTCTCGTGTCTCAGGTCCTGCATGACATCAGTGCCCACTAACAAAAGTTGGCCCCCTTGCTTAGCCTCCAATGGAAGGGGAAGGAAGCCTTAGCCGTGGGGTTCAGGACAGAGAGGGAAAGAGCCCACTTCCTCTCCATCCACGCGGTTGCCGAGACCCTGGCCACTACTTGTTTAGCAGCGCAACCTCCTTTGGGTCCCAGGCCCTGCACAGGGGCTCGAGAAGGCTGAGATGAGCAGGCGAGCCCCAACCCTCCTGGACACCTAGTAAGACACATACAGAAGACGCACAGATGCTGCTCTCACTGCCCTCAAGACTGGTGTGACAAAGGACTTCCCCCGCAAATGTGAATTTCCTTATAAAAACCATAACACATCTAGTGAGTGCCAACCGTGTGCCCAGAGCTGCACGAAGCCCTGAGCCCGCCGCACCTCACTGGCTGCCCCGCCGCTGCCCTCCAAGGCAGGTAGTTGTATTTTTATGAAGCCGATGAGGAAATGGAGCAGAGCAGGATGTGACTTGCCCAAGGTCACGCAGCTCACAGGTGTGCAAAAGGAATTTAAGGTCCAGAATCTTTGCTCTGCATGCCTGCCATGTGCTGCCTCTCCGTGGAAAGACGCAAGGTGGGAGAGTTTATGGTGGTCTGACCAAGAAACCCCGGGGCGAGGGGGGCTGCAGCAGGAGAGGGTCTTGGCCGGCTAGCTGGGAGAGGAGCCAGCTGAGGTGGGAGCCGGGCTCGCACCTTTCAGTGGCCTTGCTCTTTCCCCCTGGGCTTCTGGATCACCAGAGCCAGACTTGAGACATGCTCCCAGTCTGTGTTTACCAGGCTGTCGGGCAGAGCAGGCGCGCGGGGAACACGGAAATGGCATTAAATAACGCTGAATCACACCGCCGAGCGTTCCCTCCACGCCTTCCGATTACTCAAGGAGAAAGTCTGTTTTCTGCCAGCACATCTGTGACACCTCAAATCTCCCTTTTCAGTGGGGGAAAAGCAGATCTCAGGCTCAGACCCCACTAAGGCATCTTCTCATTTTCATTGTGCATAGTTCCATTTGTGTGCTTACTTAACAGAACACATAGGCAGCGTGTTCAAAGTGCTCGACAAATATTACTGCATCGGCATTGCAACTTTAGCAGATAGGCACCCTTGTGCCTCTTACAGATGAGTGCGCTGAGGTGGGGATAGGCTGAGTACCTGGCTCAGGTCGCACAGGGCCAGAGCAAGGATTATGGACCCGGGCAGCTAGCTGGCTGCAGAACCTATGCTTTTTACCACCTCCCCACACCGCCTGCGGTTGTAGGATTGGTGCAGGGTTTCTTCTAATTATGGCAGTAACCTGATTTTTCCTTTATGAATGAATTTATTTCAATAAAGTAGGTGAGTCAGTTTGAAAGTAAAGTGTGATTTACTGGGTGACATGGAAATGGCGAAAATCCTAACGATAGTTCAGAAGCCCAGGAGTTTGACAAACGCTGGTCAGTCCAGGCCCTTCGTTTGTCAGCTGAAGCCCAGAGAGGGGTTGGAGCCTGCAAAGGTCACACAGCGAGCAAGCCAGCGAGTCTGTGAGCTGCCAGGGCAGATGGGAGCCGTCCCCGCCACCCATGGGCGTCAACTTCCTGCACTGGGCCTGACGGCGGCTGGCACAGACACGCGGAGGTGTGCACACCTGCCCAGGAGTGTCACACCGAAACAAGATCCCTGTTATCTCAGCCGCCCCGGCACAGGCAGGCCCAGTCAGCGCTCTGACCACGGCTGAGCCAACTTCCTTCCAGATCTTTTTTTTTTTTTTCTTTTTCTTTTTTTTTGCGGTACCGGAGATCGAACTTACAACCTTGCGCTTGCCAGGCAGGCACTTATGCCACTGAGCTAAATCCCCAGCCCCCTTCCAGATCTTCTTACAGCTGGAGGTGGGAGCTCTGTCCTAGGTCTGCAGGGCAATGCTCACCTCCAGGCCCTTCCAGAAGCTTCCAGTGCAGGAAGTTGGCCCCTGCTTTGGGTGATGAGGTCCCATGGCTCAGATTCTGGATCCGCCACAGCTCCACCACATGGCCTTCCCCAGGATGCTTAGCCTGAGCTTTCCGTCCTCCTGGGTACAGCAGGGCCACACAAAGCCAAAAACAGTGGTCAGGGAAGGCACCAGAGGCAAAGTGAGCCGCTGTTCCATGAGTGGCAGATGTGTCTGCTCAGGTCTTTTCTGAATCACCTCCCACAGGGTTACTGCTTCATCATGGAGGCCACCCTTAAGCCTTCCCTTAAACTGCATACGGTTCGGAAAGCAGAGCACGAACAGTTAGGATCCTTGAGCCCATTACAGAGATGAGAAACTGAGGCCCCTCATGAAAGCTGGCTTCTCCTAAGCTAACACTGGTCAGAGGCTCCACCCTGTGGACAGGGAACCAGTCACAGCCTTCAGACCCTGACTGCCCACTGGTTCCGCAAGGCCTTGGGTGGATTATTTCTCTTCTCTTGGCTTGTTTCCTCATCTGTCAGATGAAATGTATCCTGAGACTTAGCCATGATGAACAGTCTTTGAAGTATCTGTCACAGTCTACAGGCGGCTGTATGACTGTCTTTGAATGCTGGTGTACACAGAGGCATGGCGGCACAGCACCCTTTGGAGTCACCGTGTAGATGGAAAATGCTGTAGCAGAGAACACTCACTTTGCGGTAAGCTCTGAAGACGGCCTCAGAGCTGGATTCAGGCTGATATTTAGCCTTCCTGTTAACAGCCTCCACGACCACCCCACTGCTGGGGGAGACATCATAGCAGGGGAAGAACATGGCCGGGGAGTCAGAGATAGGCAACTCTGGCTTTGTGTCCCTGCTGTGTGGCCCTGGACAAGTCACTTCACCTCTCTGAGCTTTAGGCTCCTTGTTGATAACATGAGGTTGCCTTACCATTGTCATTGTGTGGTTGTTGTGTGTATCAAATGAGTCGATGCACATACAGTGCGTGGCACATATCTGAGTCCAGGGTGGACCCTTGATATTGGTTCTAGGCATGGGCCCCTCTACTGGGCTTTCCTGGCAGACACAGGTCAGAGCCCCTGGGTCCTCTGACAGAGGAGGCCAGGTCCACACGGCCTAAGTAGTCAGGGACGGCTTCCCAGAGCCACGTCAGAGGGAAGCGAGGGCATCGCAGGCCAGGCCAGGCCCGGGGGCAGCCTGGGAGCCCCAGGAGGGGCAGCGTCTGCCTCGGCTGTGCTGAGCTGTGTGTGGGGGAGACGAAGGAGATGAGGCTGCTGAGTAGACAGCCCCCCAGGGACAGTTTGTCAGGGAGCTTGACAAGGTTAAGGATCTTCCTGGAACATCCTTTCACTTCCCCTCAATAACCTGCTATGGATCTATCATCCCAGTATTTATCTAAGCCCTTGCCGGACCCATTTATATCCTGCGCCTCTCCAGCTTCCCGGCGTAACGAGCTCCAGATGTGGGGAAGGGGCCTTCCCGAAATCTCTACCTCGAGCCCAGAGGGTGCCGGGATGGGGGCACAAGTCCTCCTTCACCAGCTCTGCCTCCAAGATGGGAAACACTCCTTGCTCCCCAACCTTAGCACTCTAATTAGAATCGGTGTTGGCCTGGGGCATTGCAGCTGGGACCACCAGGACCCTCTGTTCCAGGCCTGAGTGCCTTCGTGCCAGGGCGCCCAGGGGCTCCTAAGGGCAGCCCCGAGATACCCAACCCATTGTGCCATCAGGAGAGAGAGCGGGAGCTGGGAAGCTCTTTGCACCCACAGAGTTACCAGGAATATCTCCAAACCAAACCAGAGCGTCAGAGCTTACAGGAGCTCAGAAACCTTTTTGTCCTGTGGTTCCCAGTTGTCGGTCTCAACTTCTACCACTGCGAGCTCTGTTCTCACTGCTGTGCTGGAAATAACTCACTTTTCTATTTACTGGAGTAAAAAGTAAATATATAAGGAAAGTCCATATCCCTGCCATAAATAAAGCACCCCTATCTCTGGATACAAACAGAAGGTAGCTGTAGCTATAAATACGACACAGTACGCAGGCTGTACATCCCGGCTCCAGCTGGACCCTCGCTCTCTCTGCCAAACTCCCGTGTAAAGGAGGGTTAAGGGGGCTGGAGGGCAGGCCCAGGTGGCAGGCAAAAGCCGCGCAGGGGTGCTGTGGGCAGCTGGGGTGGATCTCACTGGGAGCCAGTGGGGAGCAGTGGAGTCTGCACGTCTGGATGGCAGTTGAGGCTGTAGGTGGGGAGTATGGTCCCCATTTATGGTGTGCAGGCTCTGAGCATCTCCAAAGCCCAGGGCAGAAGAGAAGGGTCCCTAAGAGAGGTGGGGAGAGGGGCCTGGACCCAGGGCCCGAGGCTTACAGCCTGGAGCACTCTCAGTTAAAAAAGACCAGCACATTAACGTCTCAGAAGCCACGGTGGAGAATGTCTGAGGAATCAGGGGATTGAGGAGAACTGAAAAGAGAAAAGTGTTCTCACTTTATAGCGTCCTCAGATGTGGTGTCGGGTACCACTACATACACTCGCTGACTGTCCTTGGGAGAGCACAGGCCCAGAGCAGGGAAAAGGACTTGTTCGCACTCAGCAAGCCAGAAAACTACTTTCACTGCCCTCCGCCACCTCCCACAATTCATTTCCACTTGCTTTTACCATTTTTTAAATTTTTTTTTGTGTGTGTGTGTGTGTGTGTGTTTTTGAGACAGGGTCTTGCTCTGCAGCTCAGGCTGGCCTTGAGCTCACTTTGTAGCCCGGGCTGGTCTCGAACTCGCAGCGATCCTCCTGCCTCAGCCTCCTGGGTGCTGGGACTACAGGCGCGCGCCACCACGCCCGGCTGCTTTTACCATTTTTAAAAACAAAGACTAGAAAACATTTTTCAGTAGGGCTAGGAGAAGCCCTCCCTAAAATCCAGCAGGCAAGAACCTACCTTGAGGGACGCTGTGATCAGGACAGAGAAGTCAAGGCCTGAGAACGGCCCTGTGTCCTGCTCACCCCAGTGTCCTCGGGTGAACCTCTGAATTCCTGGTAGTAGAGGCACGCACAGGATGCTGGAGAGAGGGAGGCCTCTCCCCGAGCTTTGAGAAGGCCTCTTGGAGGAGGGATTTCCAAAGAGGAGGTAGAAGCCTTGGGTTTGGACCTTTACTTTGCCCCAAAATAGCTTCAAGATCTTGGGCAATTATTTCGCTGCTCTGTTGACTCATCTGTGAACCAAGGGTGATGCAGCACCTCTCATAAAAGATTAGTTAGAAGATTAAATAAGTTAGTATGTGCTTCCAACTGGGCCCAGCACAAGCACTGTATACTTGCTGGTATTATTATTAATATGTTGCTAGGTCCAGGGAAGAAGGAGAACGCAAGCAGGTATTTGGTCCTTGTGGGTGGCCATGCACTGGGCCTGTGTCTGCATGGCTGCAAGTGAGAGCATGTGAGCCGGGCGTGGTGGCACACGCCTATAATCCCAGCACTTGGGAGGCTGAGGCAGGAGGATCGTTGTGAGCTGAAGACCAGCCTGGGCTACAGAGTGAACGCAAGGCCACTCTGAACTGCATAGTGAGACCCTGTCTCAAAAAGACCAAAAAAATTTTAAAAAGTGAGAGCATGTGACATGCCCAGAGGTGCAGCTGTGTCCCACCTCTGGGGGCTGGATGTTCGCTCCAGGGACCCCAGCAGAGTGGGGAGGTGGGAGGAGAAAGGGCAAGGAGCCAGCCCAGTGGAGAGAGCTCCTGCGCTGGGGGGCAGGGACCGGGAAGGGGTAGCTGGTCCAATCAGAAATTCTGGGGGAAGACGTTTGCACTTTCTCCCACAGGCACTGCGGAGCCGCTGGCAGGCCACGAGCAGGGAGTGACATGATAGAAAGGGTGTTGGGGACGGTCTGTGCGGCTGTGGTTTCAGGATGGATGGGCGGTGGGAAGGTCCGGAGGGGAGGCAGGAAGCTCAGCTGGGCGGCTGGCCTGGGGATGTCCCCTGAGAGATGTGCAGGGAGCCTGCAGTCAGGCTGAGCCAGGGACACCAGGTCAGAGCCCAGCTGGGCCAGGGCCAGGGCTGAGGTGCTAAATGGGCCCAGCGCCCAGCCCTCCCCATGCCCAGGAGCTGCTTTATCTGGGAGCCTCTGGAGGGCATCCTGGCCTAGTGCAGCAGGTCTGGCTGCCTGCAGATTTATGAAGTGTGGGGGAAGCAGCTGGGGGCGGGTGTGCAAGACGGGCCTGTGAGCAGAGGGGAGAAGAAGGACATTCTCCAGCCCATGGACACCCTGACCCCGTTTCCACCTTAGGACCCAGCCAGCCTTGCGACCACACCACTGAGCTCTTAAGAGTCAGGCCTGGAACGGGGCAGCAACCGCTACCTCAGTTTCTCCTCCCAGGGAAACCGGAAGGGTGAGTGAACAGGGGTCAGTGACAAGAACCTTAGACATGAGGAGGCTGTAGAAAGAATGTTCTGGAACCTCTGGACCAGAGTCAGATAAGGTGCATGATCTGAAAGCAGGTGACAAACAGTATGATTTTCAGAGTCAGAATACGATTCCATTTGTGACTTTCAAAGGAATAAATATGCATTTATGCCTCTATAAATACATTTTATGTGCAGTAAAATGCCTAAATGACACCTAATTGTGAGTACCTCTGGGGAAAGAGCTTTGACTCTTCACTTTAGACCCTCCTCCACTGTCTCCATATCTTATAATAAGCATATATATTTTTTTCACTTAGGGATTTTTCTTTTCAAAACTCAAAGGTGGGGGCTGGGGATTTAGCTCAGCGGCTAAAGCGCCTGCCTGGCAAGCACAAGGTCGTGAGTTCGGTTCCCGGTACCAGAGAAAAACCAAAAAAAAAAAAAACAAAAAACTCAAAGGTGATGTCAGAGAGAGAGAAGGTAGAGAGCCTGCTGCACATGTCACGGGGTAGTGGGTGGGCATCTGAGGGGCGCTCGGGCTGTGGTCATTCTGGAACTCTTGGGTCATCCTCTCTCCTCTGGGAGCCCCCACTGGGCCCTGCAGAGGAGCTCACAGGATGCCACAAGGCAGGCAGGTTCCAGGCAGGATGGGGCGTCATGGAGGGTCTCCTGAAAGCCATGAAAGGTGCTAAGATTTGAGTAGATGGGAAGCTGAGAACAGACTGGCCAGGAGGGTATGAATCCAAACCCTTGCGCTATTGCTTCCCAGTGGTGGGACCCTGAGTGGTTTGTCATCCATCTGAGCCTCAGTTTCCTCATCTGTGTAATGTTTAATTGTTACTCTGATGACATTAAACATCAGTCAATGACTATGTGTAAGCTTTTTTTTTTTTTTTTTTTCAAAGTGGAGCTGTGTTATGGCTTATATCTAGATATTCGCCCACTCCCCAAAGCCTTGTGCTTTCATAGGTGGGGCTTTTGGGAGGTGACTGGATCTTGGGTGTGTGATACTAAGTTAGTCTACAGGTTGGTTTAGTACAGAACGGGTGTGGATAATGGATTTACTGAAGAGGGAATGTTCTGGAACCTCTGGAACCTATGGGAATGTTCTGGAACCTATCCTGTGTGAGGGTGGCACCAACCAATAGGCTGGTAGCCTGGATGGAATAAAAAGGGTAAGGAAGAAGGAAGTCTGCCTCCTGCCTGCCATCCCATGGATGGTTTTTCCTCTGCCATGCTGCTCTGCCTTGGAGCCAGCCAACTATGGACTGAAACCTCTGCAAACTGTGAGCTAAAATACACCTTTTCTCCTT